TCTTGTCCCAGAGAAGGAGATCATAAGCAACTTGCTTGTTAATAATCACCTTTCTGAAGAGAGATATCATCTCGGGTTTCTGTTGATGTGTCATCAATTAACCTGAACACGCCAACAGAAAAACTCCAGTCTCTTCTTATTTCTTATTTCTTACTTATTTAATTTATATACCTTATACCCAAAGATCTCTGGGCGGTTCACAAAACTGAGACTTCAGCGGCTTTTGGACTACAACTACCATCATCCATAGCTAGCAGGACCAGTGATCAGGGATGATGGGAATTATAGTCCAAAAACAGCTGGAGACCCAAGTTTGGGAAACCCTGTGCTAGAGACAATTCTCTCCTGGCTAATGCAAATCTCTCTGCATAGCATTTTAAAAACAGTGCATGCAAACCAAATCATTTTATGCATATTCAAATTATATCTTTAACACTAGGACCCTTCCCTTGTCTAGATGACCTGTTTGTTGCACGTTAGAAGCATAGAAAACAACCTTTTACTGAGCCAGACTCTTGGTCCCTCTAATTTTGTATTGTTTACATTGACTGACTTAAAATTGTAGTTATTTTTTTACAAAAGAGGTGCCTGTACATTGTTGCTGTTTTTGAAAAGAGGTAGCATCCAGATTTCAACCAAGGATCCCTTGGTCTACAACCAGATCCCTGAAAAGCTTTCCTTTTCGTCGGTTCATACAAACAGGTTTCCTAATGGCAGCACTTGTTGCATTTCCTGTCACGCACAAACCATAATTACACTTAATTTTACTTAATTAAAATGTTCTGTTTCTTTGCTACTAAATGCTACTACCTATCCCAAGCCCCTGGAGACAGCATAGGCTAGAAGCCCCAATAAAGATAGAAACTGGAAGCCAACTGGTGAGAACCAGAAATAGCAGGAATGTGCCTGGAATCTGATCAGCAGGCTGCATTTCATCCCAGCGTTTGGATACTGGCTGGAGCAGAAGGGTTTCTGGAGAGGACAAACTGAATTTTCTGCTCCACTCTCCACGAGACCTTGCCCATTAGGAAGCATATTTCACTGACCCCTCCACTGACCCCTGATCTCTCTGATCGCCTGGAGACAAAGCAGTGTGTTACATGACATTTCTTGACTTTGGCACAGTTTACCAACTTCTTCTTGATTTCCACTACGCCTCAGGGCCACTGCAACTCTTTCCTGAGCGTGAACAGTTCTGTCACCTTGGGCACCGAGCCTAAGAGGTGCTGCAGGGCGTTGCAACTGTGACGTAGTAAATTGAGAAGAATGGAACACAAGCAGTGGGCGGGGTGCTGAATTTTGGCCTCACACAGGGTGCAGCTGAAATTTGAAAGACCAAAGTCTTCCCAGCTACTGCTGATTCTCTCCTCTCCTTTCCCTTTTTCTCACATGGTAGCAGCAGCATCTCTTAGCTTTAATAAACATGTTTAATGGGTCAAAGATGTTTCCTTCCCTTCACTTTGATATGACCCCTCCTCAGGCAAAGGAAGGCTGCCCCTCTCCTTCATTCCTTTTTAATGGCTATTTGACATATTGAAGCAACACAAAATGGCTGCCGTTTCTTAAAGAGCAGAAAGAGGCAGGTCACAAAACGGTTCAGGCAAGAAAAAGGCATCTTTTCACTGCCATCGCTACACTCACTCACAGAAAGCAGCACTTGCGTCTCTCCTCTGTTCAGGACAAAAGGCAGGGAGGGTGTCCAATCTTGGCATGCAATGAATTGTAGACAAGCTTAAGGTGATGTGTTCAGTGTAGGAGAAGCTGAACCAGTGCAAACAGGAGCTGAGTATGTTTGAGGGGATATTTACCGAGACCTTTCGTGAGCACCATAGGAAGTACTGGAATGCATGCTGACATTCATCTGCATCACACTGGTGACCCCTGAGCTAGAGCTGCTATAACCCGGACATTGCCCCCACAGTTCCTCAAAGATGGATGTCTCTACACAACCTCATTAGGCTATGAGGCTAGTCAGGTAGCTGGAGAGGCAATAAAACAGAGCACTACTGGAGATTGTGACCATTTGTTGAGAGCCTCTGAAAAGATGAGCAGAGGGAACCCAAAAAATATTAACTTTCAAAGTATGCACCAAAGGTCATGAGTTAAACCTCAAGGAGATACACAGAAAGACAACCATACAGGAAAATTTGCAGTTGAAGTAGCTTTCTGTCGCAAGCAAGGACGTTGATGGATGGCTTCTATTTAAAGCATTCTAAAACAAGCATTCAGCATTCAGTATTATAGAAAATGATTCATCCAAACCAGGTAAGCAGCTTTGATCTTCAAGTCTTTAAATAGGCGGTCCCAAGATATATAGAACTGGAGAGGGTGGAGGTGGAGAGAAAAAGGTAACAGGCCAAGGTGAAAAGCAGAGGCATTTTCTTAACTACAGTCTTCCAGACAGACAGAAGTGCTAACTCTGTTTGGCAAAGTGAACATCTTCATGGATATTTTTGTATAGTTTGGGAGGTTAAAGGTGCTTCCAATAGGCCTGGGGTGAGGAACCTTTTTGGCCTGGCAGCACAGATCTTTATTTCCCCACCCCTGCCCTGGTCAACCAAGTTTGATTATAGGATGGCGTCCTGGCTCCCACCCAACACACACAGACACACAGAGGCTCTTACTTATAAGAAAGGGAGCAGACCTTATTCACACAAGTAATGTTATAGGCACAGCAAGAGACTGAGTGCTCAGCAGCCATGAGTCAGGAATTCGGGAACAGGACAAGTTCAAAATTAGATGGAAGTGATGAAGATGTTCCAACAAGTTTTCCTGCCCCTCCCACAAAGCTTATAAAGACAATGCATTATCATTATCATCATCATCATCATTATTATTAATTGAATTTATATACCGCCCTATACCCGGAGGTCTCAGGGCGGTTCTCATAAAAAGGCATGGTGCAGTCACTTGCAAGACTCTCTCATTGTAAAATTTCTTGGTCCAACAACAGGCACCAATAATGAAGAGTAGTTTTATAAAAGACCCTCTGCTAGGACTGAAACTCAAAGCCTAAGGAACTGCCCAGGTCATGAGGCTCCAAGGCAAGTCCTTAAATTGCCAAGCCTTTAACATTGGGAGAGTGTAAACAAATTATAAGCTCTATCATTGCCTTCCGATAATATTGAGATTGCAAGTGCATGCTCTGCTGGGGCAGTGCAGTCTGCTCCCATCTGCAAAAGTGGACCTGATTCTAGGTGACAAGATTGCAGTCCCTGCTTTGCTGATCAAAGCCCTTCCCAGCCTCCACTAAGGCTCTCCACTCTGTAGAAAGGCTGGAGAGGAAAGCCAGCATCCTTGCTCCCCCTCCCAAAGTGGGGTGGAAAGTGGAGGTCCCTCCTCCTCCAACCAGGTTCTCACAATCTGCCCTCTGTTTCCTCTTCCTTCTCCTCTGTCAGAGTCTGCTAGCCCAAGCCCAATAGCACTCCAGGGTTCATGACAGGTTTTCCCACTCACTTGTCAAGGTAAGAAATGCTGCACAAAGCAGGACTGAACTCCCCACACATCAGCTGATATATACCATATTTTTTGCTCTATAAGACTCACTTTTTCCCTCCTAAAAAGTAAGGGGAAATGTGTGTGCGTCTTATGGAGCAAATGCAGGCTGCGCAGCTATCCCAGAAGCCAGAACAGCAAGAGGGATTGTTGCTTTCACTTCACTGCGCAGTGATCCCTCTTGCTGTTCTGGCTTCTAAGATTCAGAATATTTTTTTTCTTGTTTTCCTCCTCCAAAAACTAGGTGCGTCTTGTGGTCTGGTGCGTCTTATAGAGTGAAAAATACGGTAAATTCAATCCTGCCTTGTGCATGACTTGGATGAGCCAGCCACTTCCCAGTGAGAACTCACTGGCATGCCTGAACTGAGCAGGATTCAACTTATGCAGAGGTTCAAACCCTATAGGCATCTGGTTGGCTACTGTGGGAAGCAGGACGCTGGACCAGATGGGCTCTTAGTGTGATCCAGCAGGGCTCTTCCAGTCTTGGGTAGGGTTTGGGTGTTTCAGTCAGTTCCCAGCAAGAACACCCGAACTGGGCAGGATTGAATTCTCCATGCATTATGTGAGACACAAGGAGTTCAGTCCTCCTTTCTGCAGTCATACCTACCCCACACCTGAGATCACATATATCACAGCAGAAATGGGGCAGGCGGGCATGGTTTCAGAAACACTGGTCTTGCAAACCAAATGTGGAGGCCTGGCTGACCAGGTTTAGTCCATGGGCTGGAGGTTCTCCACCCTTGCAATGACCGTTAAACTTCTAATAGGAGACTCAGGCTGACCTTCATCTAAAAGTCCTGCCAGGAATGCAAGTCATGTTGGCATCCTTCGGGGGTCGAGATGCCAGCTGGCTAGCCCTTCCAGCCGTGATGAACCCCCGACCTCTGGTGCGATGTAAATCAGCGACTCAGACTTCAAAGCCTGAGCACACTATATCAGCAGAGCATGCTGTGCAAACAGAAGTGGTGTGAGGCTTGTGGAAACATACTAACAAGCTACGGATTTATTAAGCATAAATCAGGACAAAGAAAACATGTCGTCTCTCTTTTGTCTCAGAGAGAGAGTCAAAAGCAAAAGCTATACACAATGGAAGTTCCCAGCAGTCTGTGCTGGAATGTAAACAGACATGTGACATGTAACAATCTCACACGACTGCAACTTAAGGTGGAATGGAATTTTCCAACAGCTCATACCTACCCAAGACTGGAAGAGCCCTGATGGAGCCCATCTGGTCCAGCATCCTGCTTCCCACAGTAGCCAATCAGATGCCTATAGGAAGCCCAGAAGCAAGACATGACATAGGACAACAGTCCTCTCTTGCTCATTGCCCACAGCATCTGGTAATCAGAGATATGGTCTTTCTGAACCTGGAGCTCACAGCCTGCCAGGGCTGGGTCTGCCAGGGCCAAATATTATGTGATGATAAATGCATAGAATCATAGAATTTTAGAGTTGGAAGTGACCATGAGGGTCATCTAGTCCAACCCCCGTAATGCAGGAATCATTTGCCCAACTTGGGTCTTGAACCCAGAACCCTGAGATGAAGAGTCTCCTGCTCTATGGACTGAGCTATTGCAGGTTATCTTCGCATTTGGGGGTGTTTTTTAAAATGCAAATTGCACCAGCACCTTACATCCAGGAGAAAGAAGAGGACTGGGAGAGAACTACTAATACTTTTTTAAAATTACATTAGAAAAAAGCCTCTGAGGAAAGGGGAGGGAGACAGATTTGGGGCCCTTCTCCATCAAAGTGGAGACGAAATTGCTGCAGCCAGCAGCAATCAGGCAGCAGGAAATGAGAAAAAGATGGGGTCAGTAGGAGAGGTCATGGTCTCACAGCTAAAGAGCCAGCCTTCTCTTCCTGCTTTGTATGTGAAGGGCAGGATGTTCGTCACCATTCATCATGTCAATCAACTTATGCCAGCGACACTTTCCATTGTCATTGCTCCCCCACACCTTACGGTAACAGATTGCTAGGCTCATCAATGACCATATTAACTGGGAGCTACGTAGGAGAGAGAACCTGCTTTTGCACCCTAGACAAGAGCAGCAGCTTCCAAATGAACCCGGGCATGAGTGTTTTCTACAAACAAGATGCTATCTCTGCAAGTCAGGATGAGGACAGGGTAACATGGGAGATCATGACTCCTCTTCTTCAGCACAGGGCAAGGAGACCTGCAGTAAATAAGAGAGTTTCCTGTGAATTTCCCCAGCGCTTTCTGTGAACTAGACAGGCAAGAGTGGTAGAAGTAGATCTGTCAACTTCCAGAGGACACAACTTCCAAAAAAAAAACAAACAGATAAGGACTAAAATACACACACTTCCTGCACTCAGGATGCACTACTTTTCAGCATGCCAATATCTCCACCCCCATCGTCTCCACCCCCATCGTTCTGCCGGGACGCTGAGATCCAGCGCCGAGGGCCTTCTGGCGGTTCCCTCATTGCAAGAAGCAAAGCTACAGAGAACCAGGCAGAGGGCCTTCTCGGTAGTGGCGCCCGCCCTGTGGAACGCCCTCCCATCAGATGCCAAAGCGATAAACAACTACCTGACATTCAGAAGACATCTTAAGGCAGCCCTGTTCAGGGAAGTTTTAAATGTGTGATTTTAGTATATTTTTGGTTTCTGTGGAAGCCGCCCACAGTGGCTGGGGAAACCCAGCCAGATGGGCGGGGTACAAATAATAAATTATTATTATTATTATTATTATTATTATTATCTGCATGCAAACAGATATTGTCCATTTGTAGTCTGAAATGGTACAGGGCTGTGTTCTGAGCATGTAGATTGGTTCTTAGTCTGCAGGAGTCATAATCCCTCATTGACTAAAACTGAACAAACATCACAAATGTCCCAAGCAGAAACCATTAGATTTTCTTCTGTTGATTTCTAAGCACTGGATTACTCAAGCAACTCATCACATAGTGAGATCATTCTTACGCTTTGTTTCAGGTGGGGATGAAGGCTAAACGGTTAAATCAAAGTTTCACCATAAAGGTGGCATTAAGAAGAGGGTGAAAAGAAGAGTGTGTGTAATATTTAAGATTATAATTATAATTACCATTAATTATTATCATCATTGGGACGCGGGTGGCGCTGTGGGTAAAACCTCAGTGCCTAGGACTTGCCGATCGCATGGTCGGCGGTTCGAATCCCTGTGGCGGGGTGAGCTCCCGTCTTTCGGTCCCAGCTCCTGCCCACCTAGCAGTTCGAAAGCACCCCCAAGTGCAAGTAGATAAATAGGTACCGCTTTATAGCGGGAAGGTAAACGGCGTTTCCGTGTGCTGCGCTGGTGCTGGCTCGCCAGAGCAGCTTTGTCACGCTGGCCACGTGACCCGGAAGTGTCTCCGGACAGCGCTGGCCCCCGGCCTCTTAAGTGAGATGGGCGCACAACCGTAGAGTCAGACACGACTGGCCCGTACGGGCTGGGGTACCTTTACCTTTACCTATTATCATCATTATTTATCGCTTTTAAAAAAATGACTTAAATGACTTACAGAATATTTAGAAATAGAGAACAGCTTATCAAACATTTAAAATCTAAAATGCTATGGAATAAACAGGAAATAAAACATAAGTTTACTCAAAGTGTTTACCATCAAGAATAGAAAGAACAGATCCTCCCCCATCCGAGTGAAAAATGAATGCCACAAACCAGGCCATATTAAGACTGAAAAACCTGAGTAAACACATATATCTTTGCCACTTAGAGCAAGCTTGAGGGCCTCATCCTGGCCTTAAGGGAGCAGACCATTCTCTAATATTAGAACCATTGTCACCCCACCCCCATTTTTAGGCTCTTTTAACTGTGAGTGTTAATAAACAGTGATTTAGTCTGGCATGGTATGCTAATCCTTTTTTCAAAGTTTTAAAAAATTCATATTTGGAGCATAACTTTCATCCCAATCGATAGATATGCAGAATTAAGGTAGCGGGGGCAGGGGGAGCATGCACACAGGATTGAGGTTTTCTTTCCACCTGCATGGAATCCTCACATCAACAACAGCCGACTCTGAGGAGATGGACATACCGAAGAAATGAGCCTCTAGCTAGGAGAAGATGGTTGAGAGTTGCCATATGCCCTCTTTTTCCAGGGCGCGTCCTCTTTTTCCTGGTTATGTAAATTGAGATTCATCATAATGATCCACAGTTAAAAGCAGAAGTCAGAAAATGTGTCCTCTTTTTTGCTCTTCAAAATATGGCAACCCTACAACTTCTACAACAGCTGAGGGCTAATGAGCAGATACCAAAATTACATGTTGTTTTCCTACCTATCTTTTGTAAGACATCAGCCATACGTCTCAGTAATACCAGAGGGGCACTTCAAAGTGAATGTCCTCTTCAATGCACACATGCGTAGGCAGACACTTCACTCTCTGCCACCCTTTTTGCCAAATCCTCCAGTTGGAACTAGTTCTGATGTTCAAAGTTCAATCACACCTTCTCACACCTGTTGACATTTTGTGCTCAACAGACCCAGTTTCTGCTTGAAAACCAGCAAGCCAAATTAGCTCTCAACTAATGAGGTTGCCGGGTTTTTCCCTTCTTTGAATAGAAAGGGTAAACAGAAATGGCTAATTATCTGCTGTGTCGTGTCCTACATGAATAAGTTTCTTCATAGGCCAGATAAACCCTACCTCAAGCTCAGCTGAGTGCCTCAGATCTGTTTTGTAATATTATGGCATCTGAACTGAAACACTTGTGTTCCTTCCCCTTCAACATATCAGGATGATGCACTACAGGCCATCCATTTGTCAGAGAACATGCATACAGGTGACTGGTTCCACATTTGCATACATTGCCTATTCTGCTTTCTTTAAGAATGGATGTTGATGACCAATGGAGAAAGATGTGTCCTCACCACAAAGTACCTACTGTATTTTTCACTCTATAGGATGCACTTTTTCCCCTCCAAAAATGAAGGGGAAATGTGTGTGTGCCCTATGGAGTGAATGCAGGCTCCTTGGCTTCAGTGATAGCAACGCGAAGTCTCCGAAGCGCAGAGGGAGAGCTCCCCTTGTGCTCCGGAGGCTTCGCGTTGCTTTTGCTGAAGCCACCTGAAGCCCCCGGAGCGCAGCGGGAACTCCCGCTGCGCTCCGAAGGCTTGTGGATAGCCGCCTGAAGCCTGGAGAGCGAGAGGTGTCAGTGCACACCGATCCCTCTTGCTCTCCAGGCTTGGCTTTGCTGGAGAGGCGCTGCACAGTTTTCCCTCTCTGCGCAGCGCCCCTTCAGTGAAGTGGGAGGAGAAATGGAAGGGGCTCCGTTTCTTCTGCCGCTTCACTGAAGGGGTGCTGAGCAGAGAGGGGGAGAATTTTTTTATTCCTGTTCTCCCCCTCCTATGGTCCGGTGCGTCCTATGGTCCGGTGTGTCCTATAGAGCAAAAAATACGGTATGTCTTATGTTTCATCAAATTTTGTGAGTTGCACACCTTGGGAACAGTCACCAAGGACATAAACATGCAACAGTGTGTGTGAAAGTTCATCATCATCATCATCACCACCATTTTATTATTTATATGCCGCCCATCTGACTGGGTGGCTCACAACAAAATATTAATGCAGATGTTTTTACAGACAGATGTAATATTACAGACAGCTACCAATAGGTGCCTTTGACACTTGCGCAAATGCGCATCAATCACAACAAGAACGGTATGGATGATCTAAGGGAGGTTGTGGGGAATCTCATTTTCCCAGGCACAAAATAAGGAGCTGGGGAAATGCAATATCCTTACAACATACATTCAACCTTAAGTAATCTGGAACTGAGGAGGGGGCCGCACAGCTGAACTAAAAGTTGTGAAGGTAGCTAACACAATCCCAACATCCTTTATTTTAATTTCTTTTTAAGGAGACACACAGCTTCAGGAGGTGGTGATTTGGGGGGGGGGGGGCGGTGCTGAACTCTTCCCACCTACTGCTTCTCCATCTGGTAGCTGACCTTGCCACAAAACATCCCCCCTAGTTTCAGTTGCATATCAAAACCCTAAAATGCATTTTATATAATTGGCTTTCTATTTCTATTCTTTGTATATCGTATTGTTGTTTTATTGCTATGGCCAATGGCTGACACAAATAAAGATTCATTCATTCAGTTGAATACTTGCAAGAAAATCACCTCCTCTCTTCTCTTCTCTTCTCTTCTCTTCTCTTCTCTTCTGCACATATTTTTGCATGTGATGTGCAGTTCAACCTTAAGCAGTATAGACAGAATACAAATTTTGCATCCCTAGGTCCAGTTTCCAGCATTTGCTGAGGTTCCATGCCCAGTGCTGCCAAACTGGTCATGCTCCCCTAAATCTGACTGCACTCCAGATATTGCTGGACTAAAACTGCCATAAAACCCAACTGTTGTCCATATTGATTGGGGCTGATGGGAGATGGAGTCCAACAATGTTTGGGAGGGCTACAACTTCCTCAGCTTTGGGCCAGGGGACCACATTTGTTTGTTTACAACAATCAAGTACCTTTCAAGACCCCGCAAGGTCTTTATTTTAAACTAGATTGCGGGGTCAGGCACACAGTAGAATAGGATCTGTTACATTTCAGCTGTCTTTTCTCATCGTAACCTGCATGTT